GCATATCTCAACCAATTCAGCATGTCAACACATTCTGTCTCCCCCGACCACGCATAATAATACTCAGTTTCAAGAAAATCACAGTTCATTGTAGTGAACATGTGTCGGGTTTTTGGATCATAACACCGGTATCCCTTTTGAGTTATTCCGTATCCAACAAAGATACATCTCTCAGCACAAGGGTCAAGTTTAGATCTGTTGGCTTTAGGTATATGGACGAATACAGTGCACCCAAATATTCGTGGTTCAAGGGTAAGAAAAAACGGGAGTTTAGTGTATTCAATGAGGGTCTGAATAGGGGTTTTAGATTTTAGGATTTGGGTGGGAATCTGGTTGACAAGGTATGCGGCAGTAACAAGGGCTTATGGCCAAAAGAACTTTGGAGTTTGTGATTCTATGAGAAGGGCTTGAGTTATTTCTAACAGGATCCGGTTCTTTCGTTTCGCGGCACCATTTTGTTTTGGAGTATGAGGGCATGTGGTTTGATGAATTATACCCTTGGTTTGGAAAAACGATTTCATTTTGGAGTTGACAAATTCTCCTCCGTTGTCAGATCTAAAAATCTGAATGTTTTTCTGAAATTAAGTTTGAATCATGTTGTAAAGCATGCTAAATTTGTCAAGAACTTCAGATTTATTTTTTAATAAATAAACCCAAGTCATGCAGGTACAGTCGTCAATAAATATAACAAAAAAACTAAAATTTGGTCCCCCAATTATCTGAGCAAGGCCCCACACATCCGAGTGAATCAATGAGAATGGTAGGTCAACTCTCGTGTTATTTGGTTTAAAATATTTTCGATGACTTTTAGCTAATACACAAGTTTCACAATGTAACTTGCAAGTAGAAGAAAACAATTTCGGAAATAAAATATGTAAGTAATTGGTGGATGGATGTCCTAGTCTTCGATGCCATAGTCAAGCTTCTCGTTCCTTTGTTCCATGAGATAACATTACCACACCATTTTGAGATACCTCATCCACATAATACAACCCTTGACTTTCAGTGCCACGCCCAATTATCGCTCCCATCCTGATATCCTGTGAAATGCAAAAAGCCGGTTGAATAAAAACCGAACAATTCAACTCTTTTGTTACATGACTGGTTGATAGGAGTTTATGAGATAGAGCAGGAGCATAAAGACAATTAGAGAGCTTAAGTGTTGGTGAGATTTCAATCGTTCCCCCATTTTTTACATTCATTTTTTCTCCATTTGCGGTTTGAATGTATGATTTTGTTGGTTTAGTTGACACAACAAAATCAGATAAGTTGTAAGTCATGGTTTCGGTGGCTCCACAATCAAATATCCATGATGGTTCCTGTTTTATTTTATAATTTTGAGCCACAATTTCACAACCATTAACATCAAGGATCTTTTTGTGATTTTCAAAACTCTTTTGAATAAGATAACAAAAAGAACCATTAGAGTATAATTCATTTATCAAGGTTTTCAAGATACCCTCTTTCTTACCCCCCTATACCTGTTTCCATCGAGAAACCTTCAACTTCTTCATCGATTCTCGTTGCTGCAACCCCCCCCCCCAAATCCGGTGGCGGTTTTCAGATCGATATTCTTATTAGTGGTCAGAGCTTTTCCTTTTTCTGGTCTGAGACCCTTGGTACTCTTCTTGTGGCTAGCGGCCCACCACTCGGGATTAGGGATGAGAAATTGGGCCGAAAACCCGAACCGAACCGAGAACCGAACCGAGAACTGAACCGAATTAGACCCGAATAAGCAATTCGATTCGGTTTTCGGGTATCTATATAAGACTTATTCGGTTTTCGGGTTATTCGGTCCGGGTTACCCGAATAAGGGGTTATTCGGTCCAAAAAACCGAACCGAATATGAAGAGACTTTTTTTCCCTTGCGACCTTGCGTGAGTAGATTTAGTGTTTAATTTGTTTATTTAAAAAGTTTGTTATGAAATCATAAGCTACAAAAATCATAAAAAATACAATATTTATTCGGGTTATTCGATTCCTTAATCATCTTGTACATGTTATTTGGGTTATTCGGGTTATATACTTATAGATAGATTTTTGGGTGTTTTGGATGTTTAATATTTAGTGTTTAATTTGTTTCTTTAAAAGATTTGTTATGAAATCATAAGCTACAAAAATAATGCAAAATATTCGGGTTATTCGACTACAAAATCATTTTGTACATGTTATTCGGGTTATATACTTATGAAATCATAAGTTTCAAAAGTAATACAAAATATTCGGGTTATTCGGGTTATTCGACTACAAGTGTTATTTGGGTTATTCGACTACAAAATATTCAGGTTATTTGGGTTATTCGACTCCTTAATCATCTTGCACATGTTATTTGGGTTATTCGGGCCGGACCCGAACCGAACCGAACCTGTATTGCTTATTTGGTTCGGTTTTCGATTCATACAATTTGCTTTATTCGGTTTTCGGTTTATTCGGTTCGGTTCGGTTCCGACCCGAATAACATCCCTACTCGGGATAACCAACGAGCCGAAAGCACTGCTCTTTGGTGTGTTTTGACATGCCACAATGATCACACTTCAAGTTTGTTTTATCTTTTTTGATCATTGATCCATTCTTCTTTCCTTCCGATCGGCGATACCCCTTCGTGGCAAGCCCCATTCCCCCGGTTTCAGTAGCGACCAGACCCGCTCTTATGCCCTGTGTGTGGTTCGTTGTTCCAAGAATATTTTGGTGAGCAGCTTCCTTACGGATGGTAGCATAAGCCGCCTCCGCCGAAGGCAATGGTTCCAATCGAAGGATCTCCCTTTTGATTGATTCGTATTTTTGATTAAGGGCATTTAAGAATTGAAAAAGTTTTTGCTCTGAACTGATTCTTGCGTAAGTCTTGATATCATCTGGACATTTCATGGGGTTAGGATCGATCCTTTCGATTTCTCCACTGACACCTTGGAGTGTAATCCAAAATTCTTCAAGTGTGCTGTCATTTTGCTTGATGTCATTAGCCTTGACATGGAGGTTGAAGGTTTGAAGTTTGTCTCTGCCACTACTATATGTGACCACTAAAGCATCCCATAACATTTTTGCAGTGGGGTACTCTGTTAGGCTACCTGCAATAGTAGATTCAATATTTTGGATGAGCCATGAGAACACAATTAGATCTTCTTGTTCCCATTGCTCGTAAGATTCTTTTTCTTGGCTTGGAGGATCAGAGGTCAAGTGAGATAATAGGGCCCAGGGTTTTCCGCCTATGGCAACTCGAATCATCCGAGTCCATAAAGCATAGTTTTGGCTATTAAGTTTGAGGTTTATTTGGAGATTATCATAGAACTTTGGGTTCTGAGGTTGGGGATTGATGCCATTCTTTAACATATTGGCAAGCTGTAATGATAAATTGGGTTCTAAGTTGTCGCCTCCGGACATGGCGACTTATTTGGGATCGAGATTTGAGTTGGCTTTGAGGTAGATGATGAGCAAACCTGCTGTGATACCATGATAAAAAACAGAGAAGAATTGATAGGAACCAATTATTTTGTATTATTCGTTTTTTTAAAGGTATCTTACAATGAGGAGGAGAAACCATAATTTATACTAAATTACAATGATCTAAATATGGAAGAAATACTATTGCTGGATGTCAATTTTTGGTGAATGGAAAGCAGATACACGTTCTCCTAATTGCAAGGGATATGATGTGATTGGTCACCAATCTCGCTGATCTCATTGAGACTTCCTTTTAACAAGTAAAAGGTTTTAGAAATACTTTGTTTGATTCTTCTTTGAAAAGAATCATTCTGCAGGTTTATAGAATTTCTTCATAATATGTGTTTTATATTTGTTTTTTGATAAAGATAATAAAATCTCCAGACTTAAGTGGGTTTTAAAAATTTTAACAAAACAATATTGGTTATGTTTTCTATGGTCGTTAGACTTTTTTTTTTTTGTTAGAAACTAATAAGCATAGCTTGAAATCATTATTTAATGTATAAACATGTTTAGAGTGAATTAAGGAAATAAATACTTACATATTCTGGTTGTTAATGTTTTAATCTATTTTTAATCTAAATGTATTTGTAGATAAACATATTATATCGATAAACTATAAGGTATGTAGTTTTTTTTTATAGATGTGAATTTATTGTTTATAATTAAATTAACGGAAAAAGAAAAGTTATGCTTACATTATGACATCACAGAAGAGTAAACTGATTGATTATTCGTATGTTGGAAACTGAAAATTGGAAAGACAATTTCTTTTGAAACAGCTCTTGGAAGGATAAATAGAATGTCACATTGTCTGCCCTCCACCGTTCTTTTATATTATTTTTATTTACCTCTTTGAGTAATGATTAAAATTTAAAAATACATTCATATATTTTTTTTACTTTAAACCTAAACTCTTGTATAATTAGTTTGAAAGTATAAATAAAGAAAATATCTTAAAACTTATAATTTCAATTTCCAATTTTAGTTACGTTTAAAAAATATAAAATGAAATGCATGTCTCAAAATATAACAAATTATATTAAAGGTAAAAAAAGATTTTGTGTTAAAGAGGACAAATAGATAATTCTTAAAGGATCTATATATAAATTTTTAATCTTGTAAATTATTGTTTATGTTTTGAGAATTTTGCAATTTACTCATATTCCTTTAAGAAGTTTTGTTACAAATGATGTTGACCCATATTAAACTATTGGGGAATCATACGCGCCTTTAGTGTTGTGTTAGTTTATTTTCTCTTGTTTCGGGTGATCCAAAGGACCCCAAAAAAAGATCATCATCAAGTTTCTTTTCAGTATCACATATTATTCAAAGAAGTTGGAAATTTCGTCTTTTGTAAAGTACAAGACAACGCATTCTTCTAAACCAATCTGATGTCTACCCTAAAGCCCGATCAACATGAAATATGAAAAAGATGATTATACCCTTAACACAATAATATACAAATAACACAAAATCCAAGAAGGAAAATGCAGCAATCTCCATAAGTTGTTGAATAATTTTCAGGATTACATGAAGGTGTACCCAATAATTCTTCAAATTCACATGGTACACCTAGAAACACAAATACAACAAAAAATTTAGGGACTAAGTAGAGTAAGTAAAAAAATTGATTGTTGGTGTAAAGGAAGATCACCTCGAGTAAGCATGAGGCATTAGAAAGGGAAAAGTCAAAGCAAGAGGTGGAAAGGAAGCAGAAATAAAACAATTCAAAACAACATTACATGATTTTAACAGTAACTCTGTCGATGATGAGTACCTAAAAACATTGAGTGTAAGATACTAACAAATAGAAAAAAGAAACTATAAGTTTCCTATACCTTAAAAAAATTAAATTTGCAGAAACCTAACTAACCCAAACCAATTTAGTTGGTCGATTTAACAGATCATCCAATCTTTGCAAGTTTTACCGTTTTATTCATATATGCTAACCTTTTCATATCAACTAACCTCTGTATCCTTAAGAACAAAAAAACAAAAAAAATTGAAATCATGAGAATCAATAGAAATAAACAATTTAATCTTAGTACCAATTTCATATGAAAATCCAATAGATAGAGTTAATTAAAGATAACCCCAAAAAAAAATCTTGAAATTTGTTAAACCAATTTCAAACCAAATAACTAAACTCCAAAGACAACAAAATTGGAAGAAACCACCTGCTTCTTGGTTTTTGGGTCATTCTATACTAATCTTTTGGGTCTCATTGGTGGTGTATGGATCGTTAAATCTTTTAAAATAACGATTTTGCCCTTCACGAAATTTGAAATTTAATTTTGAAAACTCAATCGCATTCTTGTCCGGATGATACCTAAGATACAACATCAGAATAATAGAGTTAGTTCACGAATAGCTTCAAAATTTTTGATCTAACACATGTTGACACTCAAGAGATGAAGATGTAAGACCCATATTTGTTTACGGATTGACATATATGTCAAAAAGGACAAAGAACATAAGAGATTTGTTAAGTAAAAAAATTCAAATAAATACGCATGAATTATAAAAAGATTTTTGGATTCCTCAGCCACACAATATATTTTAAAAAGGGAAAACACGATATTTAAAAAAAAACAACAGCAATAAAAAGTCGAATAAAAAAACACCAAAACAGAAATCTCTACACTAAGCAGCGGAGCTGGCCTTCGTCTTCTTCGTTGACTTGACACGAGCTGGAAAATCCACGACTGCAGAGAGCATACAAATATCGAGGTCTTGAACTTGAAATTAGAAATAAGAACAAAGAAAGAGATTAAGCCGACTTTTTCAATCACTTTCTTTGTTCATGACGATTGGAATTAAGATTTAACACCGTAAATTTTAAGATAATTTTTTTTTTTTGCATTTTAAAACATATTTTCCAAACACATTTATTAACAAAATCTCATTGTATCATATCTTCGTTTCACAAAACATTTCCCAATATCAAAATACATGAAATCCCATGTGTGTGTACGAATCATGCCGACGCCTTCCCGCGATCATCACTGGTACCTGAAACACATAACACATAACACTGTAAGCATAAAGCTTAGTGATTTCCCTAAAATACCATACATAACACATACTAGCCACTCGAGGCTATAACTTTGTGGGCCCTTGGGCCCTAAATCTGTGGACCCTCTGGTCCTAGCTCTGTGAACCTTCTGGTTCTAACTCTGATATACTCTGATATACACATGACATAAATCACATAGAAATAATGCAATGCAACATAACACACAAATAGCATACAATAACTCTATCACATAACTCTAATTACCACTCAAGGTAAAGTATAGTGAGAAGACTTACCTCAGATGTCTCGGTAAATCTCTGACTTAGTAGAAATACGATCTAGCCTCCGCCTAATCACATAAAGTAATACTCTCATAAATATAACTCTCAGGACTAGACTCAACCCTCTTTTGGCACCCTCAGAAGGGTAAAAGACCATTTTACCCCTCTTTTGGCTCAAAGGCCCTCGTTGTTGACCAAACCCTAGAAGTCAACCAAGTCAACGATCAAATTTTGACCCGACTCGTCAAGTGCACTTGGGCAACTTGGTGAGTCTACACGTGTCCACTAACTCTTTAGTCTCATTTGGCATGTCGAGTCCCTCCCATTGCTCGACGAGTCACACCTGGCATAAATCGCGGGGCCACCCCGACTCAACTCTCCGAGTCTCAAGATCAACTCGGCGAGTTCCACCGTGAACTCCAGTCCTCTAATCCCTCTCTGACTCACTGAGTTATTCCCCCAACTCGGCGAGTCTACTCACTGAGTGATTTACGGGAAACCCTAACCCTACTCGCCGAGTCTGCCCATGGACTTGGTGAGTTCATGCCATGTACAAACTCAAATGACCTCCTGAGGTCAGATATGTTACTTTGATCCATAGATCTGACCTTCCCAAGCCTGATAAACACGTAAAGCTCGAATCTTGACACTCATGGGACATCTAGGAGGTTTCACTTGGTGAATTAGCCCCAAAAATAACATCATAAGCTCAACACCTCTATAGCTCAACATAAAGCAAGATGAGATAAGCTCTTTAGACCACTATGGTTCCAGATCCGAAATCCCAAAGTGAATAAGGGCCATGTTCTCACAATTTCTTCCATTAAAGGACATGAAAACTCTACATCTATGGATTCCTTCAACACAACAGATAAAGGGGCGATATAGTACCTCAAAGATGAAGTCTTTAGCTTGAAATCCACATACGCACCACCTCCTTGGTCTCCTCTAAGCTGGAAACACCTCCTTGCAAGAATCACCCACAAAGATCAAGAAATGGCGCCTTTCCTCTCACAATCGCTCTAGCTCTTTTAGGGTTTCTCTCTAGGGTTTGGTAGTCGTAAATAACAGCCCTAGGGCCTTTAAACATGTCCCAAACCCGGGAAAATAGGGTTTCATTAAACAGCATGGACTCGCCGAGTCCAGTCATGAACCCGGATGAGAATCCGCGACCCTACTCAGCGAGTCTAAGCACCAACTCGCCGAGTCCCTCCACAAACTCCAAAATAAATGAATAAAATACCTAGGAATCTGGATGTTACATAAGAAGCCAACAACCAAAAGCCAGATGATGGAACATGATGGCAGTGGCGAGAATATGGGCTAACATCCAGAAAAAACAAAACGATCAGCTTGCCTCTGCGTGTCATTAAGAAGCGGAATGTTTTAGTTTTTTGAATCACTTTGAAAGTTCTAAAACTAAACAAAAAAAAGTATTTTCGTATTTTCGGTGGCCTTATTATAATAATAAAATGTATATTCTAAATAATTAAATGTCGTAAAAGGAAGAATGGTGTTTTGATAAACAAACCATTCTTATGTTCTGTATTTTGTCCAAAATTAAAATAATTAAAACTACTCATTTGCTCTAAAATTTTTATAGATTGTAATATGCATGTAATTATTAAGATACAAATTATGCATTACAGAATACAAAAATCAATAACGAAAAACCCATAACTTTTAAAAAAGAACGTTAATAGTATGTATAATTTGATAAAATTAAACAATAAACACCCTCAAAAGTTATCATATTTTGTCTTCATAAAACTTTTGCATTGACTACAAAATTCCCATAATTAACAGAAAAAAAGGACAAAAATATTAATGTTTCAAATTTGCATTTTCTCTCACAATCAACCAAATCATTATCAGAAACTTTTTTGGTCCATTCATTAAAAAACCTTGATAATGTAAGGTTTTAAATAGATATGAACTTATATCTAAGAAAAATCAGATTCAAATTTAAAAAAAAAATTACTTGTAAACTCCTTGATACAGATTGAAATTCAAAATCTTTGGAAAAATTAACACCATGAATCAAATTAAAACAACTTACTTGTAAACTCTTGCATGAACTTTAATAACAACTCTAATAAGATTAAGAAAATGGAGAGAATCAATAGTACAGATTGAAACTCAAAATCTTTGGAAAACGTTAACACCATGAATCAAATTAAAACAACTTACTTGTAAAACTCCTGCATGAACTTTGATAGCAACTCTAATAAGATTCACAAAAGGAAGCATTGGAACTTAGTAAAATTGATAATACTTGTTCTAATAAGCTAACGATCAGCAAAGAAATTATACCTGATAAACTGAGGATTTGCCTTATTGCTTTCTATAACAGGCCAATATTTATTTCGTTTTTTTATAACCTCTTGCAGATTCTTTTAGTGTTCATCTTCAACCAAGAACTAAGCAAAGCAAAAGAGAAAAATATTTGAGTGCCTAAAAGCAAACAATATACCATCAATTGCTTAATAGTTTGAGTAATATAAAACCTTTTCAAGCTCATTTGTTTGGCTACGGACCAGATCTGTTCTTCCAAGCAATCATGGCTAAAATCTTTTGTATAGAAAGAATTCAAGCTAATTTAAGCACAATTCCATGTCGTTAACACACCCAACTGATCAAGAAACACACCCATCTGAAGTAAAATTACTTCACATTTAACCATCCACCTCATTCCTCTTCAGAATCAAAACAAAACACAGGAAATTGCTTGTTAAAAAAGAAACTTGTTTGTTAACCGAAAATACTCAGACCTTTATCCAATTTAGTCGCAGCAATTGAGTGAATTTGAAATTGAAGCAAAAAAAAAAAGTAATTTGTATCATCGGTTCATTTTTTGTGATGTATGTTTCGTTTGAGCAATTCATCAAACACTTGCCATACATTGTGAAATATCTACAAATTTACAAACTTAGATAGATGTTCTTACCTTAGCATCTGTGTTATGTAGCCTTTTTGCGTTGGTCCAAAAAGAATCAAAAAAACAGGTGAAAGTTACACCAAATCCTCCACCATGGTTGATTAATTGATAGACTGAGTCTATATATCACAAAGAGAGTGAAATGGAAACGAAAAAGAAAAGGCGTGAAAGCAGTAGCATATGAAAGAAATAAGTGGTTACGATTTCTTTCCTTAGAAGTTAAAAATCGTGTCTACATACCTTCAAAATTGAAGCTGAAAAAGCTTAAAACTGTCGATTCGTGGCTGGAATCGGTGTGCGACGTCCAATCCATGCTCTCCCTGCTCCAAGATCAAAACCAATTAGTTGCTAATTGCTAATTTCATACAACGAACCTGATACGCGGTGGGAAAACTCTGGAGGTCGAAATGGAGAAAACAAAGATGGATAAATTAATTTGAAGGAATGTAGAAGAAGGTTGGAGAAGGCTTTCTTGCATCTGATTCGTGAGGCAAGGCGGTGGAAAAAGAAACATGAAGAAATTTAGAGAAGCGGTGTAAAGAAGGCAAAAGTAGAAGATAAGGATAACAAAAATGTTAAAGTGGTTTGTGGCAAAAAAATAAAAGATAAATAAAAGTGGTGGGCAAATGAAAAGGAATAAAAAGTCAGCATAGAAAATGTTAAATTATCGTTGTGGTAAATGTTGTAAAGCAACAAAAGTTTGTGGCACAAATGTAATTGGCCAAACATTCCTATTCACCAGAGTTTTAACGATTAATAGTATATATAATATATAAAATTTCATAAACATTTTTCAATTTTAAATATTGTTACCAAATTCTTTATGTAATAAATCAAATTGATAATCATTTTTTTAAATTATCTTTTATATAAGTTTTTAATTTGATGTGTGATTTAAAGTCATTTCTTTTTAAATTTAATAAATTAATACACAACAGTTATCATTAAACCTCAAAAAAATATCACAATTTATATTAAAAAATGAAAAGTCAAATTATACGTGTCTAATATAATTTACATGCTTGTCTAAACTAAATAGAAGTATGTATGTTACATTAGATATCCTTAAAAATTTTAAAAATATATAAGTGGTTTGACACGGTTAGCATTAGAATATCCGAAAGCAAAACGTATATATATCCGATTAAAAAAAATAGAAACTAGACATAGTATTTTAAAAATGATTCCTTAAATTCAACTTCGAGTTGATTCTTCGGTTATAATAATCATAAATACTAACTGAGACATGAGTTACAAAAAGAAAATAATCTTTAAAAATAAACTATTTGCTGAAAAGAAATTATTCGTTTTTCAAAACTTATATAATTATAGAAAAAATATTTCCAAACAACGTACTGAAAGACACTACTTGCCGAAAAAATCGCCGAAAACTAATTAATGAATGTTTAAATTTTAGAATTTTAGAAAAATTAGAAACTAATACATGTTTTGCTAAAGGTAACTAACAATTGAGAATAAATTATTTGTCAAAAAAAAATTATTTGTCGGCTGATGAAAAAAAAAAAAAACTAATTGCAGAAAAGAATCTATTCGTGAAAAATCCTATAAAAGAAACAAATTGTTGTCGGAAACTGATTGCGAAAATAAACTATTGACATCGCTGCATCGTACGGGTACACGACTAGTATATATATATATATATATATATATATATATATATATATATATATATAATCAATTGAAAATGCATATTAGGGTTAATAGGTAACTACCAATCATAAAACGACAAATGTCCCTTTATTTAAATTACAAAAATCATCTTTATGATTCAATTAAAGTTACACATTTTGTACCTAACCACTAACAAACTATCAAGTTATCTACATTTCCTTAGTTTGTCATATGAAACCCAAAATCTACAACTTGGTGAACATAACCCCTATACATACACCATAGACACAACTTCTTCTTTTCATATTTACGAAACCAAATCACTAGACGCCATAGGTGAAGCCACAAGAAGCCACCCTGTCGGATGCACCAAAAGACGTCGTCGAGCCGAAACCAGCAGAAGATGTCACAGTCGGAACCACCAGAAGGCGTGTAACGTCTAAAAAATCACAACAAATTTTAACGTTTCAAAAACAACTCATTTACTCAAAAAGTGTTTACATAACCATTGCATTCCAAAAAAGATTATTTAAAATCGAAGTCTCCCAATATCCAACAACATAACACCAAGGATGTGTACGGTCACGCCTTCGCCTTGTCACGATCCTCATAAGTACTTGAAACCAAATTAAAATTGTAAGTCAACGCTTAGTGAGTTCCTCAAAGCACCACCACATAAACATAACAAACAACAACATGCGTACATAGCCTTCAACATGAATAAACCGCCTCATCGGGCCTTTAGCCTATCTGGACCGCTCTCTGGGACTTTGGTCTGACTGGTCCGCCTCACCGGCCTTCAGTCTATCCGAATGTAACGCCCTCAGATTCGGGATAATCAATTTAGAGATAATAAGCGTTAAAAATGATTTTTTTTGTTAGAATATTATTTAGAATAAATAATCTTAACAAAAGTATAATATATGTCACAAGGATTTCGTACATATAAAGAACGCTGGCATCCGACTTATAACGAAAAAGTTATGATCCGTCGAAGTTTTGCAACAAAACCGGCACGGCTTCGCGTATCGTAAAAAGTAAATTTTTGACAAAATACTTTTTGGCCTTAGCGATTTAAAAGAAAGTGATGGTATATGTTAAACCAAGAGTGTGTATATAGAGAACGTCCAAATCTGACTTCATTTGAGGAAGTTATGAATTTTCTAAGATTTCGCATAGTAGTATACAACCCGCAAATCGAATTTTTAAATTGATCAAATTTTAGCCGACACAAACTAAACAATAATCGAATATCTCATTAATAGGAGCTCAACGATATAAAGACAGTAAAAAACGGACGTCAGATGACAAAGTTGTGATTTTTTAACGGACTTTAACTATCTATGACTTTTAAAATATATCTTTAAAAATAAAGTCAAAATTAGCTGACAGAGTCTAAACGAAGGTTGTAGATCCCATTGATACCTATGTGTGGATATAAAGAGCGTCAAAAACGGAACTCGTATGCGAACTTTACGAATTTTAGAAGATAAATAATTTTGGGCTAAATTTGCGAGTGACACGTGGTGCGATCTGGGCTGCGCCTTCTTCCCCACGGATTGGAACGAGATGGCGACGCGTGGCATGCGAATGCCCCGTGTTCGGCCTTTAGACATCCTATAAGTAAAAGGCGCAAATCACCCCATTCTTCACACCTTTCTCACCCATTCTCTCCTAAACACCCCCAAAACCCTTTAAGCCTTTCCCTATCACCTCCTAGGTGTTAGTAGCAAGTCCCTAAGCGCCATAAAGACCCAAGAAGAAGAGATTTTGGCTTAGAAGTTTTGTCTGCACAGAGCCCGGTTCCTTGCTAAACCGCCTTGTAAGTGAGTTATGCTTACCATACTTCAAGTATAACTTATGTTTAAGTTCATTATCGTTATCATGAACCTATAAATAAGATTTATCAGTGATTCCAAGTCGGTATACTGATTGATCTACTTACGAGGATGATGTTTAGACTGTGACTTAGTGAGGTGTTTAAAGTGGGAGTTCCAAACAGTATACTGCATATACCAAACGGACCCTACCTCCAATATGATGCTACATGGTTGTTCTTTACTTGATAGATCATGAAAGTAGAATTTGAGTTAATGATGAATCTTGACTAATAATTAGTCGCAATAAATATTATACTAAAACGTATTGATAATAATACTAGGTTTCGTCAAAGTAAAAGACAGTTGCAAGAAGCGAAACGTTGTCTGAGTTTCGAGTCGTCACTTTATCAAGTGAGTGCATAGTCTTTTCCATGAACATGATTTTAATACAAGTATTAATTAAAATATTAAATATATGTTTATGTGTCAAATATTTGATATTGCCTGAAATACATGTTAAGAGCATATCTGACAATCTATGATGATTTAGGATACAGAGTAAACCTAAATTAATTAAGATGAATATTAGGTTGTATCTTCTTATGAGTACAAGTGAGATATACACGGAAGGTAGAACTTTTTATTTTGTCATTGATTTGAGAGCATGGATTAACATACTCATTCGTCCCTAATCCGAGAGTATTGAGTGGGCATGATTATTCATCATTGATCCGGTAACATGGATTAGACATACCGGATTTGGGAGTATGGATTAGGTAAAGCTGTTAATTTTAGATCCAAGCGTATGGATCGTGTCATTGTGAGGATCGACGGGGTGGGGTAAAACTGCTTATATGAGGTAAAATTTCATATTGTGAGTTCATATATATATATATATATATATATATATATATATATATATATATATATATATATATATATATATATATAACATTGTCAGATTGAAATCTCTATGTATTCACCAAGTTTTCCACCTTGACCTACACAGTTTATTGTATCATAAGTAGCTATACAAAAGATACATTCTACTAGAAGATTTAAGGAGTATTAGGCCACTAGTTTAATTAATGTAAGGCTTTTAATATTTCCGTATGCTTAAGTTTTCGTATTGATGATGACATATCAATGTTTTAATATAAATAAAATACATTTCTTCGGAAATGCTTTGATGACATCTTTATCATGTTTTCTGGGAACAAATTTTGTAATAACATTATTCAAAAAAGATACTTTGATTTTAAAATAAGCATAAATAATATTTTTAAAATGATTGTGAATTTGGGGATGTCACACAGATCACCCTAGGTATCTTGGCCTTGAGTCTCAGCTAGTCCGCCTCAACCCAATAAACCATCACATATCAACAAACATGTAACATCCCAGATTTTAGGTATTATCAAATCCTTCAATTGGTTTAAACTATGTCATTTTGGTCCTTGGATTGTAGAGATGAATGTCGTGTAGCAAAATGGTAATTTTAAGAGTAGGAGTTGTACGTCGAGCGTACATGTGAGTACGTTGGGCGTACACATATGTACGTTAGGCGTACTTATGTCCAAGTGAAACTTAATTTTTGGGGTTTGGGGAGTATTTAAACACTTTTATGGATCATTTAGCCCCATTCTTTTAGCTTCCAAGCCCTTGATTCGTTTTTGGCAAACCCCAACCCTATAAGAGAGTGGTTTGAGCTAAAAGTGTGTTCTTTGTGTGCTTAAGGAATAAGGAGTTGCATCAAGGAGATTAGAAATTGAAGCAAGCTTATAAATCTTGGATCATCACCTTCTTCGGAAGCTTCAGAAGGTAAAAATTTGCTACATTTATGCTTTGTTTGCTTGGATCTCATTTTAGTAGCTTTATGATGTTCTTCTTGTCCCAAAAGCCCTATTGTTATGCATGTTTGGTTTTGGACGTTTTGGGTTGTCCTTTCAGACCATATGAAGGGTTCTAAGCCATAAAAATGAGGCCCCTTTAGCTAATTTGGCTCAATGCTTCTTATAGAAGGTTT